TTCACAATGATAGGAAGAGCCGACATCGAAGGATCAAAAGCAACGTTGCTATGAACGCTTGGCCACCACAAGCCAGTTATCCCTGTGGTAACTTTCTGACACCTCCTGCTTTAAAACCCAAAAAGTCAGAAGGATCGTGAGGCCCCTGCTTTCACAGTCTGTAGTCATACTGAAAATCAAGATCAAGCAAGCTTTTGCCCTTCTGCTCCACGGAACCTGAATCTTGTGCTGTCAAGGCTCATGGGGGCCCCCGTCTGAGCCTTTGGCTTCCTGCTCCCTCCTGCTTCTCTCATGGAAGGTCTCCTTTTTAGTCGCTATAACTTCAGCCTGTAGGGTATCTGAGATCAGGGCGCTCATGTCAGAACCGCCTTATATGATCTTCTATAAGGACATGGTCCAGCTGTGTCCGCATCTGGTCTTTCTGCCAGTTCCATACTGGTCAAGATATATCCTTTGTCCAAAGCCTCATGCGACGGATGAGGAACGCAGGCTGCATACACTGGACATCAGAAGGGCTCTGTCTATCTATAGATAGAACGAAGCCGTTCCATAAGTCTACACTGTTATTTGTTGCTGTCACAGACACGATGAAGAGTTGCCTAGCGTCTACCCAGAGAATCTCGTCCTGGACCACGGCCTCCATCTGCTACTGTTATGAGCTGGCAAAGGTGCACCTGACGGCGATCATGATGGCTCCCTCAACTAGGGTGCAGGTGTCCTCGGCAGCCTTCTTCGCTCAAGTGCCAATCCAAGAAATTTGTTGAGCCATGACCTGGTCATCTGTCCACACATTCGCTTCGCACTATGCACTGATCCAGAAAGCTCAAGATGATGCTGGTTTCGGCAGAGCAGTGCTCCAATCTGCAAGACTGTGAACTCTGTATTTTAAAAAGTAACAGAGAGTCCTGTGGCACCTTTAAGACTAACAGATGTATTGGAACATAAGCTTTCGTGGGTGAATTCCCACTTCGTCGGATGCATGTAATGGAAATTTCCAGGGGCAGGTATAAATATGCTGGCAAGAATCAGTCTGGAGATAACAAGGTTAGTTCAATCAGGGAGGGTGAGGTCCTCTGCTAGCAGTTGAAGTGTGAACACCAAGGGAGGAGAAACTGCTTCTGTAGTTGGCTAGCCATTCACAGTCTTTGTTTAATCCTGATCTGATGATGTCAAATTTGCAAATGAACTGAAACTCAGCAGTTTCTCTTTGGAGTCTGGTCCTGAAGGTTGTTTGCTGTAAGATGGCTACCTTTACAGTATTTTAAAGAAGCCTTACTGAGGGCTCAGGAACAAACCATCCCGAAGTGCAGAAAGAATAGCAAATATGGCAGGCAACCAGCTTGGCTTAACAGTGAAATCTTCGGTGAGCTTAAACTCAAAAAGGAAGCTTACAAGAACTAGAAATTTGGACAGATAACTAGGGAGGAGTATAAAAATATTGCTAGAGCATGCAGGGGTGTAATCAGGAAGGCCAAGGCACAGTTGGAGTTGCAGCTAGCAAGGGATGTGAAGAGTAACAAGAAGGGTTTCTACAGGTATGTTAGCAACAAGAAGAAGGTCAGGGAAAGTGTGGGACCCTTACCGAATGGGGGAGGCAACATAGTGACAGATGATGTGGAAAAAGCTGAAGTACTCAATGCTTTTTTTGCCTCAGTCTTCACAGACAAGGTCAGCTCCCAGACTGCTGCACTGGGCAATACAGTATGGGGAGGAGGTGAGCAGCCCTCAGGGGTGAAAGAACAGGTTAAGGACTATTTAGAAAAACTGGATGTGCACAAGTCCATGGGTCCAGATCTAATACATCCAAGGGTGCTGAGGGAGTTGGCTGATGTGATTGCAGAGCCATTGGCCATTATCTTTGAAAATTTGTGGCAATCGGGGGAGGTCCCGAATGATTGGAAAAAGGCAAATACAGTGCCCATATTTTAAAAAGGGAAGAAAGAGAACCCGGACTACAGACGGTCAGCCTCACTTCAGTCCCCGGCAAAATTATGGAGCAGGTCCTCATGGAATCCATTTTGAAGCACTTTGAGGATAGGAAGGTGATCAGGAACAGTCAACATGGATTCACCAAGGGCAAGTCATGGCTGACCAACCTGATTGCTTCTATGATGAGATAACTGGCTCTGTGGATATGGGGAAAGTGGTGGATGTGATATATCTTGATTTTAGCAAAGCTTTTGATACGGTCTCCCACAGTATTCTTGCCAGCAAGTTAAAAAAGTATGGATTGGATGAATAGACTATAAAGTGGATAGAAAGCTGGCTAGATTGTCGGGCTCAACAAGTAGTGATCAATGGCTCGATGTCTAGTTGGCAGCTGGTATCAAGCAGAGTGCCCCAGGGGTCAGTCCTGGGACTGGTTTTGTTCAACATCTTTATTAATGATCTGGATCATAGGATTAATTGCACCCTCAGCAAGTTCGCAGATGACACTTCGCTTGGGGGAGAGGTAGATTCGCTGGAGTGTAGGGATAGGTTCCAGAGTCACCTAGACAAATTGGAGGATTGAGCCAAAAGAAATCTGATGAGGTTCAACAAGGACAAGTGCAGAGTCTTGCACTTAGGAAGGAAGAATTCCATGCATGGCTACAGGCTGGGGACCGACTGGCTAAGCAGCAGTTCCCCAGAAAAGGACCTGGGGATTACAATGGACGAGAAGCTGGATATGAGTCAGCAGTGTGCCCTTGTTGCCAAGAAGGCCAATGGCATATTGGGCTGTATTAGTAGGAGCATTGCCAGCAGATTGAGGGAAGTGATTATTCCCTCACTACAGAAGGGATGTGGACAATTTGGAGAGAGTCCAGCGGAGGGCAACGAAAATGATTTAGGGGCCTGGGGTACATGACTTACAAGGAGAGGCTGAGGGAACTGGGGTTATTTAGTCTGCGGAAGAGAAGAGTGAGGAGGGATTTGATAGCAGCCTTCAATTACCTGAAGTGATGGCAGATGACTGAACAAGAAGCAATGGTCTCAAGTTGCAGTGGGGGAGATCTAGATTGTATATTAGGAAACCCAATTTCACTAGGAGGGTGGTGAAGCACTGGAATGGGTTACCTAGGGAGGTGGTGGAATCTCCCTCCTTAGAGGTTTTTAAGGCCTGGCTTGACAGAGCCTTGGCTGGGATGATTTAGTTGGTGCTGGTCCTGCTTTGAGCGGGGGATTGGACTAGATGACCTCCTGAGGTCTCTTCCAACCCTAATATTCTATGATTCTAACTCCAAGCCCACTTCTGAGGATTCTGCTTGTAAGTCACCTACACTGGAATCGACATGAGCAAGCACTCGAAGAAGAAAAAACTGTTCTTTGAGATGTTGCTCATGTCCATTCCATTACCCGCCCTCCTGTCCCTCTGTTGGAGTTATCGAGAAGAAGAAACTGAGAGGGCGGAGGGCCGGCGGCACCTTGTAAACCATGAAATGAACGCGGCACTCCAGAGGGCACCACAGCTAGCCCTACGGATACTGCTAACGTAAATGTCTCTGACCGCACATATGGGTGCGTGCAGACCTACAATGGAATGGAAATGAGCAAGACATCACAAAGAACAATGTTTAAGAAAAGGTGGGTAACCATTTTTTCCAGTCAGTTTCGCATATAGACAAATCCTAGATCACTTAGATACCTTTTGAAGATCATGCTTTTCATGTATAATCTCTGAGATAAAGTTTCTGAAAATTCATGAGTAGACTTAAAACTTTAAATATTGGAGTATGTTTTAGTGACATCTGACAATCTGGAAATGCCTGTATGTAATTGCAGATATCGTTCTGGTGGAGGAAAATCCCCAAATCAGCTGACTGTGAATGAGCTTCGGTTGTTTGTAAGACAGCTGTATGCGCTACCCTGTGTCCTCAGTCAGACTCCATTACTGAAGGTAACTTTGAGAGCTCTAAAGAGGACGGGGAGGAACTAAAACACTTAAAGATAGCAATAAAATGTTCTTAAGACTGCATACAGTTGAACAGCTAGTCTAGAACAGGAATTCACAAGTGGAAGGACTCGTGTTCTGTTTAGTGTTGCTGATACACTATTTATGAAAATATTCTAAATCTCAAGGTATTAAGAAGAGGATGAGCATTTCAAGGTAAATTTTCCTCGTGCATTCCTTGCATCTTACACTATGCCTACACTATAGTTGGTTGGCATAACTTATGTCACCCAGGGGTGTGAATATACCACCCCCGACTGACATAAGTTACATCAGCATAAGCACTCGTGTGAACAAGCTATGTTGCCAGTATAGCTCCTGCTGTTCGCAGGGGTGGTTTTTTTTTATGCTGATGGGAGAGCGCCTTTCAGCATAGAGTGTCTTCACCACACATTCTGCAGTGGCACCGCTGTTTTAGTACACCTGTGCCGCTGCAACACTGTACATATAGACATGGCCTTAGTGAGGTGTTTGCCAGTAAATTCTACTAGCAGTGCTTTAACTAACAGAACAGCCAAGATTGCAGTGCTGTTGGGTATAGGAACTTTAAGCTTTGACAATGGATTTCTCCTTTTGTTTTAATAGTTGCTGTTGTGTGTTTCAGGATCTTCTTAATCGTGTGGAAGCTTTCCAACAGCATAGCCAAAAACTTCTCTCTGAAGAAATGCCCAGTGCTGCAGAACTGCAGGAGCTATTGAATGTCAGCTTTGAGTTTGATGTTGATCTTCCACAGCTAGCAGAACTGCGGATCCGTCTGGAGCAGGCACGCTGGCTGGAAGATGTACAGCAAGCTTGCTTGGATCAAAGCTCCCTTACTCTGGATTATATGAGACGACTCATAGACTCAGGCGTTGGACTAACTCCTCATTCAGCAATTGAGAAAGCAATGGCTAAACTGCAAGAACTTCTTACTGTGTCTGAACACTGGGATGACAAGGCCAGAAATCTGATAAAGGCCAGGTAGACTCTGAATCTTAGAGTTTGGGAATAGGTGCAATTAGTGTTGCATCTTTCATTTGGTAACCCAAAAAGCAGGCAGTTCACATGTGGTCCTGATCTTCTTGCCTTTGTTTTTCTCTTCATTTTTATGAGTGCATGAATATACTAATGTGTCATTACTTAGTTTGTATCAGGCATTGCATGGAACTTTGTAATATTGGATGATGTGTAGACAAACAATTCCATGCTGCTTATATATATCTTACATGGACAAATGAAGGGAGGGGAAGATGGAAAGGACCTGTAAAAACAGTTAAAGGTTCAGATCAATTCAATTGTTTACTCCTCCATCAGTGTTTCAGATCTTAGTGCTTTTCTACACAATAAAGCTAAAATGTGAATTATAAGCTAAGATGTGAATTTAAACCAGTGTGGTTCTATTGGTATCAGTCCCCCATGTAAACATTCTTACACCGGAATAATAGGGGCTTTTTTGATTTTAGCTTACATTACTTAAGACAGGAGGTAAGCTAAACCAAAAAAACCCACTATTATACTGGAATAAGAGTATCCGAGGCTAGGTCTACAGCTACCCGCCTGAATCGGCGGGTAGAAATCGATCTCTCAGGGATCGAATTATCGCGTCTCGTCGGGACGCGACAATCGATCCCCGAATCGACGCTCTTACTCCACCAGCGGAGGTGGGAGTAAGCACCGTCGACGGGGAGCCACGGAGGTCGATTTTGCCGCCGTCCTCACAGCAGGGTAAGTCGGCTCCGATACGTCGAATTCAGCTACGCTATTCGCGTAGCTGAATTTGCGTATCTTAAATCGACCCCCCCCCCCCCGTAGTGAAGACCTGCCCCAAGTGGGGTGGTTTATACTTCTATAGTTGTAATTATATCAGTATAAATGGTAAAACTCTCCCATTTAGACAAGGCCTAAGGATGAAGAGAGGAGGAATTGAGATGGAATACCTCCTCACTGTGACAAAAGGATGCTACTGGGCGTTTCACCCTCAATATAAAGGAAGAAATAACATTTGTTATGTTCATTAAGATGTAATTGAAAGCTGTATGCTAAGTGCAGATTCTATGAGACCAGAATTTGGCTCCCAGATCCTTGGCTTCATATTTATTTAAACACCAGAGCATTTCTTACCACTCTTGTACTGGTCACATTGTTTATTATTTAAGACAAATGTGACGGTAAAGCACAAACTACAGAATAAGTTTGTCTTGATCCCACAAAAAATCAGAGCTATAGGTGAAATTGTGCCTGTAAGCAACAAAACTAAGTTATGAATTGCAGAATATACAGTATGTAATCGCATCATGACAAATAAATATTTTTTCCTGAAGCCCCTACTATTAGCTGACAGGTTTGAGTTAAGGGTGAATCTGCTGTATCTCTAAAAATTTCCTGCCTTTGGAACTTTCTGACAGATGCTTAGGCTCTCATTCAAAGGTTTATGGAATTTTAAATTTATGTTAAATCTCCCTCATGGAAATGTATAATCACTATAAAATAAAAACCCAAATTTTCCTGATTGGTCACCGCAACTCTGATGAGAAGAAAAAGGATGCATGTAGTACACTGCTTTTTCTTTTAAACCACTTTGGACCCTCTTTTCAAAATATATAAGGCACTCCAGAATCAAACAGCAGCTTTTTGAGTAAACAAGGTTCTAACACCTTCGTTTGCTACAGTGACTTTACTCTCTTCATTCTTTTTAGCTGAAGGTGAACAACAAATTAAAAACCAATGGAGTTAAACATAAATTTGTGCCAGATGGCCCCATTAACCAGGCTGAGTGTGCAAGGCAGCAATCGCCCCAAGATAAGTTTTAAGTCGTCTTAACCAACCAACCATTTTTTTTCTCTCTCTGAAATCCTCGTGGAACATACTCAATAATTCAGTACCAGGAAATGTACCAAAATGATTTCACAGGCACTGAAGGACACACATGTGAAATGTTTACATTTTACACAGTTAAAAAAAAAATACTGTGGTGAACAACCTCTCCTTAGCTTTCTTTTCAAGTTCTTCAGTATACCTAGCAAAAACCTTTTAGATGCAGGGAAAAAGACACTTTTAAAATGTATCTCTCAAGTTTAGTGGGTATGGTGAACCAAAATCTCTGCTCAGTCCCTTTTTTTTTTTTTTTTTTTTTGTTGTCAAGTCAGCTCTGCGACAGGAACTCATATACAGTACTCTGGGTAACTTCGAGTCTTACACCTCTACATTCCTAGCTACAATGATCCAAGTTGGCATTTAAGTCACTGGCTAGTGGTCTCTGTCTACTTTTCCCTAGACTGAGATCCATATTGCTCACCTTTTTCAGGCAAAAAAAACCTTTTTTTTTTTTAAAGTGAGAGGAATAAGTCCAGTGGCCTGTCTCACTTATGTGGTATATGAGATTTGTGGAGGGGCATGGATGTGGGGTGTGGGGTCCTTTTCTTAAATTGTGCCTAGTTTTAGCCTGAATTTAACTATTACAAAAATACCAGGTTTTTTAAATGAATTATTTATAAATCAAAATGTTAACACTCCCAAATGTCACTGCAGTAATGGCTTACTTGATAGCCAATAATTAGGTATTGTGCCATACATTATTATTGTTAAAACCCTAGTCATATTACCAAGACACACATTCACCGGTAGTTTTGGGCATACCTTCCTCCCTTTGAAACAGCTCCTTGAACAGCATAGTTTTTTAATGGTAAGAATGTAGTCTCATTCTTAGAAGTGTGTGTGTGTGTGTGTGTGTGTGGTTCATCCCTAATTCAGTTCAATTTGTTTTGTAGTTTGAGATTTCTCACCAGTCTTTGAATAACAAAGCTAAAATGAACTACTTTGTATCACATTTTGAGTAGGCTGTGTGTATCATTTACATAGACCACGACAGTCAGTAAGCAGTCTTGCGGCAGCAGTCAAGGAGATAGAGGAGATTCCTGCCTATCTCCCAAATGGTATTGCTCTGAAAGATGCGGTACAGAAGGCCAAAGATTGGCTACAGGAAGTGGAGGCCCTGCAGGTAGGTAAATTGTTCCTGTTTGTTATTCATTTGGGAATATTCATAGATTGATGTCAGTGGACATGTCACTTCACTGACTTTTGCATATGCTAGAAGTATGTGCTTCAATCTTCTTTGAAATTAAGCATGCTGGTTTTGTAGCAGTTACTGCCTTAAAACAACTAGTTAAATTATGGACTGATGAATGCTTAATTTTTACTTATATCTCAGGCAGCAGTGGACCTTATGTATATTACTTGAATCTGGAATTAACTTACTGCAATGAATCTATAAAATGAGCTATTGGTAGATAAATAGTGCAAAACATTCCTTAATATATGTCTCTCACAGCCACCAGTTAACAATTATGACACTATATTTTAACACTACTATAGTTTTTGTACCATTATCTAGCCACAAAAAAGCCTTGCTGGTAAAAGCCACATTGCTAAGACTATTTTATTTCTAGCTTACTCTGGTCATTATTTTAACGTTAGGGATTGCCTATTATTTTCAGAGATTGCCTGATGACTATTTAAAACAGCATAGTTATACTGTATCTGTGTAGTTTTTTGCTTATGGCCCAGTTATTAAGCGAACATCTAGTTGTAAATATATAATATGCATTATATGCCCAGTGACATCAGAATTCTCACGTGAACTAATTTTGGAATTACTGTGATGATAATAGATAACATGAGCAGCTGTTCATGTCAGATAAAAAGTGAGGTTAAAAAAAAAAAAACATTTTACACTCCTTTACTCATTTCTAACACTCTTAATATTCCCATTTGTATAGAGAAGGCTTCTCTGACTGGACCTATTTATACATGTATCAGTTAAACATTCTGAAAACAAGTCTGATGGACTCAGTGATAGGAATGAGTCTGGCCCTCGAGAACCTTGTCTGCACTGGAGCTCCCAGGAGTGCTACCAGTGGGCATTTTTGGTAAATGTCCCTAGTGTAGAAATGATATATGAATGGTTTTCCTCTTATCTATTTTATTTTGCATTCACTGTTGAAGTCATGACAGGAATTGGCTGAAACTTCTGTCCTATGAGAAGTAATGTTTTACTTTGGTGATTTTTTGTCCATACTCGATGGCTGTCATTTATTTATACTCTGTCTTTAAAGGAATTGATTGATTTGTGAGTACACTGATAGTGAGCTTCCTAAGCAAATTGAAAGTATGCAGTGTGCTGACAGACCAGAATTTTGGCCTTTCCACCTTAGCCATAGCCTACTATGTGATACTTTATCATAATAGACAAAAATTGCTCCACACAAGAGAAGCATGGCTGTTGGAACTACATTCTGTCTTCTTTGGCTGAACAACTTGTGCAGTGGTTAACAGATTAATATCATGTGATCTGGATGTTTATTCCTTAAGACTATTCAGAAATTGCAGCTAGTTTGGAATGTAGTAGTTGCCTATTGTAGATTCATAGATTTTTAAGGCCAGAAGAGACTATGGTGATCATCTAGTCTCACCTTCAGTAAAACACAGACAATAGAATTTCATCTACTTAACTCTTGTGGTAGAGGGAATTATTTTTCCCTACTGTACTGCTTTATGTACTGTGATTATACTAAAACATATCATTTAGACAACCAATCTCAGTTTAAAGACCTAAAGCAACAGTGAATTAACCACTTCACATGGGAAACTTTTATTATCTTCAGTGTTAAGAATGTGCATCTTGTTTCCAAATTGAATTTTTCTGACTTCAAATTTCAAGTATTGGATCTTGCTATGCTGTCATCTTCTAAACTTAAAGGGCCTCCTAATATCAGAAACCTTCTTCCACGTGTACATACTTAGAAACTCTCTTCAGTTTTTCAACATCCTTTTTAAAGTGTATACAAGGGATATGTTCTCTTTAAGGGAAAGGATGGTTCAGGGGTTAAGGCAGTAGCCTGGCTCTTAAACCAAGGTTCAGTTCCCTACTCTGCCGCAGACCTTCCTATGACACTGGGCAAGTCATAATTTTTTTTTTTTTTAAAGGGCGCAAGAGATATAGATGCCCAAATCCTGTTGACTTCCCCTGGGTGTTGAGCATCTAACTTTCTTAGGTCTCTTTGAAAATTTTGGCCTTAGTTTCTCTGTGGGCCTTTGTTCTTCTGTAAGATACAGATAACAATACTTCCCAGCCTCAACAAGTATTGTGGGGATAACTACGTTAAAGATTGTGAGAAGCTCGGCTTCTACAGTAATGGGGATCAAATAAGTACCTAACAGATAGATTTAGTAGTTTAAAATTGTGGCAAAACTGCTGCCAAAATGCAGGAACCCAAAAACTGAGCTGTTTTCAAAGTTACAAAATCCTTCTAACATTTTTTTGCACATAGGATAAAACAGAGATAGAAGCACAAGAAACCTATATCACTGGACACCCCTCACTGAGTTTAGTGTATGGTACTGAAAACATCTAACATGTGAAATATAATAATTTCTTAGACCTTGTTTTTTAGAATTACAGACTGGAATTAACGTACTACTGGCACACTACACAGACTCCTGTGCTCTCTCCTCTTCCCCATTGTACCTTGGAATTGTGTGGTATTCTGTTAGCAAAATAAGAGTGCTGCTTCATTCCATTTTTAATGTTTTAAATTATGGATCACTTTCTTCATACCGTGTACTACATCTCAGGGGTAGGGTGGTGCAATGATAGGTATGAGAAAAAAAAGTGGTAGAGGGCTTTAGCAGCTGTTCAAAATAACTCAGTTTTTAGGATGCTTTGTCTTGGGAACTTTTTTTTGGATGACTTCAGATTTTCTCTACGAGCTCTACCCTGACCTGACCACTAATTTTCAGTCCAATATACTTTTCTTGGGATTTTAAAGAGGCTGAAAAATTTACCTTTTAACAGAAACTATGAAGAGAGTGTGCGTTTCCTGGGTTTTGTAAGTTTGGGTTTTGTTTATTCTTACAACACTAACTTTTTTTGGAGATATCATGTGGAGACACCTTAACTGAACATTTGCTGGTTTTCTAATGTTTAAGTTAGGGGCTTTGACGTTCCACACACTGAAGGGTATGAAAAGAAGGCCCTGTTGAGTGGCAGCACCCTTAATTTCAGCTCTTTCTCTATTTCTAAAAATGTATTTGATTGAATCACTTACAACAAACATTGTTTCCTATAGCAGTACATAGTATCAGTGCTATGCAATCTTTTGTCAGTTGAGTTTTGGATGAAATTTAAGGTGTTTGTAACCTGTAGAGTCCTAAATGGTTTGAATTCTGCCTTTTTCAGAAATCACCTCTCCTTTATGTGATTCTGCCATGCTTCCAATTGATGGAGCCACTTGATCTGTAGACCCCTAATTAAATGAACAGGGGCTGCTTTTAAGGGGAGCTCTGCTTTGGAATGTTACTCTGCTATGATGTGCTTAGACTGGAAATGCATAGACAGGTTTTGATTTACCTTCAGGGCACACTAGAAATTCATTTGCTTTCCAGCAGAGAGGGATTCATGGTGGTGTGGATGCTAGGAGCTTTCAGCTGGGGGAGTCTTTTTGGCCTGGAGTTATTTTGTTAGGTTTTTTTTTTTTTTAAATGCTTTCAGTTTGAAAATGTACTTTTATTATCCGGGTATTTAAAAAACACAGATAACAAACTGGTGCCAAAAATTGAAAAGAAATTATAAATAGGACTGTTCTCAGTAGGTGAATAAAAATGCCTAGATTCTGTTTTACAAAATCTCACTCCAGTTGATTCAAATGTCTTTGTTCTGTTTTTGTCTTGTACAAATCAAGCATCTCTTAATTTCTAATTCATTAGGCTGGAGGACGTGTGCCCGTGCTAGACACACTTGTGGAACTTGTGGCGAGAGGTCGCTCTATCCCGGTACATCTGGACTACCTGCCAAGGCTAGAGTCTTTAGTGGCAGATGTTCAAGCTTGGAAGGAGTGTGCAGCCAATACATTTCTGACAGAGAACTCCCCTTACTCACTTCTAGAGGTAAGAACTCTAAACTGTATCCACACATGTGCACAGAAAGAATAGGAGTACTTGTGGCACCTTAGGGAATGTCTACACTACCCGCCGGATCAGGGAGCGGCGGCAGCCAACCCCGCGCCGTGAGGAAACGAGGTAAGTCGACCTAAGATACGTCGACTTCAGCTACGCTATTCTTGTAGCTGAAGTTGCGTATCTTAGGTCGATTCCCCCCAGTGTAGACCAGGCCTTAGAGACTAACAAATTTATTTTAGCATAAGCTTTCATGGGCTACAGCCCACTTCATCAGATGCATAGAATGGAACATCTAGTAAGAAATATATATACATACAGAGAACATGAAAAGGTGGAAGTAGCCATACCAACTGTAAGAGGCTAATTAATAAAGATGAGGTATTATCAGCAGGAGAAAGAAAACTTTTGTAGTGATAATCAAGATGGTCCATTTTAGACAGTTGACAAGAATGTGTGAGGATACTTAACATGGGGAAATAGATTTAATATGTGTAATGCACAGAGTTCGTGTCTAAGTAGTCCCTCACTGCTGTAGGTATTAATCCCATAAAAAGCTGAAATTGGCATTAATATTTTATTAAATGTTTTTGCAAAAGGTTTTAGAGGCATTGTGCATATTGTAAGTTTACTGCATACTTCTCTTCAGCCTGGAGGAGGCTTGTTTTGTATTTTCCTTAACTAACTAAATTGGAAACAAAGACTAACTGTGCAGACAAACGTCCTATATCAAATTCTTAAATACAGTGTGAGCAGAGAGGTGCTTGTGACACTGCTTGATAGCCTGGATATTAATCTAAACTGTTGCAGCAACTGGAAACATTCCTGACCTTTTCCCAGACCCTCGTTTATAAACTGGGGGTGTCTGGAGGGACAGCCTTGGAGTCTTAGTGAGGCCAGGAGCTGACTAAAGTCAAGAGTCAATAATGCGTGCTGCAGCAGAGTCTCCATGGACCTCCACTCCATGTTAAAGATGAATTTGGCTGCGGTCTCGTCCATTTCAGTAAATGGGATTCAGTCCTCTGGCTACTGTTTTCCCCCCAACATAACCTTTGCTTAGTCAAAGTTTTAGGGTACTTCTGTTCTAAATGGACTTATGAGTGCGTGGCCATGTGTTATGCCAGGATAAATGCACTGAGAAATGCTCCACACAGTTGTGCTTTGGCTGTTTCTTAGGTCTTGTCTCCCAGATGTGATATTGGACCACTGGGTCTTAAAAGGAAACAGAAGAAATTAAAGGAGCCAGTGCCAAATGGAAAGAAGAGAGGGACCAGGCTGGGGAGTCTTTGTGATCTGGAAAGAGCTCTGTGTGAGAGTAAGGAGACGGCCTCTGCGGTATGTATTAAGCTTTGAAATACAGGCTCCTCTTAGGGTTTTTTCCCCATTTGATTTTATATCCCTAGTATCTCTCTGCTGCCCAGCTTCTCTCCCAGCTCTCCACAAGAGGGGTATAGAATTCTCAGGAGTCTTGTGGTATTGCTAAGTCTTGCCCCCTCGTCAGTTCTGCCTCTGGTGATGGCAGAAATAGTCAATTTGGCTTTTTCTCACTAGTTTGTTTTTATATATTTTAGATTTTATTTCTTTATTTGGGCAATAGCAATCTCATTCAGTTTATATCTCCTCTCTTCAGCCTGGGAATCACCAGGGTACTGAGGTTCCAGCCCTCTGGTGCAGCATCTCTCTACAGGGCTTTGTCTTCCCACTCTTCCCCTCACCCCTGACCTAGCACACACATATGCAGAGTTGCTCTGCGTGTTTGAGCTTTCAGAAGCTTCTGAGAACAATCTCTGCTCTGCTTACTACTAGCCAGGTGACCTTCCCTTTGCCAGGGCCTGAAGCTCTGAGTCAAACCAACACGTCAGGGCCTTATGATTTCTCCTTCCACCATGAAAAAGCTCAACCAAGAGCAGCAAGTTTCCTCCCGAAAGGATTCCCACTCCTGTTCATATCAGAGATGCTCTCCAAATTCAAGGTTGCTTCTTCTGTGAAGCTCTGTTTCAGGTTCAGAAGAGGAATTGGTTTGTGGGCTGCGAAGTAGGGGCACAGCAGCTCAGCCAGAGAAACTGGTTCTAAGTCTGAGGTAGAAAAGGGTTTCTCTCCAACCTTCACAGCTGGGACTCCATGTCAAAGTGCAAGGAGTGCTTTGGGTAATCGATGCCCAGCCAAGAAGCACATAACATCTCCATTTCTCATGCATCATTGGATGACTGTGCAGTAAGTGAGAAATCCCTATCTATGTACAAAAAGCCACTCGATTTACTGAACAAAGCCCAAGTTCCTAGGTCTTTCAGCTTTCCTATCAAGCTTCCAAGCCCCCTATTGGGCTCTTCACATAATCTGGATTTGTTCCAATGCCTATCCTTGGGTGGGTGAATTCCAGATAAATTACATTGACGCACAGGGCCCCCTCCCTCTTGGGACAGGGAGACGGCAACTCCTAAGAAACATTAAAAAACCCAAACCCCCACGCATATTATTCCTTTTTTTTTTTCCCTTCTCATAGTTCTGCTCTTGAAGAGGGCAAATTCTGAATCACCCTATTACCACTAGAGCTGGACAGTCAGGAATAATTCCTGTGCCTGAACACTGCAGTAGTTTAGTTTGCCAACTGGCAAAACAGAAGAAGGTCTAAAAATTGATTGAAAAACCCTATTGAATACTCTCATCCTTTGAGGACATCATAGGATCTGAATGTGAACAGCCAGTTAGAACAAACAAACAAAAAGAAAATTTCATACATCATAGGTATTCACTCTCAATACAGCAGTAGCCCTACCAGGAGGGGGACTTTGTACCAAAAGATCTTATAAAGCTTAAGTGAGGGCACCCTATTCTGAGATTTCAAAGCCACAACAGCTGCCCCATGGATTAAAAAGATATCCTGTCATTAAAGAAGAAAATCTATATGGCGGCAACAAAGTGGCTCTACGCACTTCTGGAAGAGGAGCATTGGCATGTTCATAACACTCTTCAGTAGAGTCTAACCCACTTAGAACAATATTGGGCTGTAACTGCCTGAATTTTACTCTCTTCTCCATAAGAGACAGTCTAGGCAATTTCCTGTATTTCTCAGACCTAATCAAATAGCAGGGTAATGCTCTTGTAACATCTAGTGTGCTTCCCCTGGACTGTTACTTGTAGCCATTCTTCTTCTTTGAGTGCTTGCTAATGTCGATTCCATTATAGGTGTGCACATGCCCACGTGCGCGTTTGTCGGAGACTTTTGCCTTAACGGTATCCATTAAGCTGGCTTTGGCGCCCTTTGGAGTGCCATGCTCATGCTGCAGTGTATCAGGCGCGTCCGCATGTGGTGGACACTCGGGTCGCCTCTGTCCCTTGCTTCGCAAGCGTTCTCTCCTATCTCAGCCTTGTGATTCTAGCTGTAAATAGTTTAATCATTTGTTAGTCAGTTGTTAAGTAGCTGTTTAAGTGTTTAGTCAGATAGTTGGGGGCGACAACTTTGTCCCAGGCAGGGCCCCTGGCTCTGGCCTATGCCTGTTAATGACCCACGTGAGAGTTGTGTAAGCTGCCTTGGGGAATCCCACATAAAGGAGCGCCGTCACATATGTAAGAACTTTCATTCTCAGACACAGAGAGAGCACAACATATGTCTCAGAGCCCTCCTGATGCAGGCTGCCCTACACCCAGCTTCAGAGCCGGCACAATCTGATACGGCACACAGCACTTTGGCTTCGGTGCATAGCGCACCCCCGGCACCAGGCTCTTCCTGGCACCAATCCCCTGGTCACTGGTGCTGAAGAAAAAACAAAGAAGTCGGCACCAAGCAAGCCCGAAAAGGGGGCTCTGGGCAAAGGACCCTATTCGGGCCTTACAGACACTCCAGGCCCGCAAAAGGGCTCAGGACTGCAAAAGGGCTCAGCCCCGCGGAGTTCGTCCCCACAAAAGGACCTGCCACCAACTCCAGGGAGCAGTAAAGGGCCCAAGCCGAAGGCGCAGCTGACCTCCTCTCAGCTCCCAGCGCCTGGAGATTTAAGCGCACCCCCGCCACAGCAGGCACTGCGTGCAGCAATGGAACAGGCTATGGTTCCCCACGAGGACAGACCCGCCGGACAAGGCCTCACACAAGACAAACAAGCACTACTGATCTCCGGAGCCAAGACAGAGCCCTAGGTCACCATATTCTTAGTCTCCACATTGGCCCAGGTCTCCGGCTTGCCACTACGAGTCATTGGCATTGCGCTCCCAATCTCTGTCTACACACTGGGGCTTGCCCAGGCGTAGACAATCTCCTCAGCACCGGTCTTCGTCGTGCCGTTGGTCACCGTCGCTGAGACGTTGAGGACTCTCCCTACTCCCAGCACCAGTCAGACCACTCCCGGCACCAGTTGCCAGTGGCGACAGTAAGCCGTCAGACCCAGGCCTCAACAGCAGGGGGTGACGACTTCTCTGGCTCAGAGGTGGAGTTCAGCCCCTTGCCCAGACAGCAACGTGATCGGGCTCCAGAGAGCGCGTGCGCGGCATCAGCATTGACACCGTGATTCAACTTGCAACAACTGGTTTCAACTTTACAACGCTCAGTCCTACAATGGAGTGGATTGCGGTTCTGAGTTACGACCTTTCGACACAATTGATTCCTGAAAATTGTGTTGTAAGTCCGAGAACTGCCTGTATTCTGCAAAAAAAAAATATATATCTGTTAGTGTTAACAGCCAATATAGCAAATCTGTTTTTTAAACAGACAGGGAGATGTGTATTCCTTCCTACTGTGCCAGGAAGCAGTTCTACTTTAGGAGTTCTGCATAACCAACTCAGTTACCTCAAAGCTGCTTACCTCTCAGGGGAGCACAAGACATTGGCAGATCACTTAAGCAAGTCTTTCTCCTCTCACCACGAATGGTGAATCCAGACATAGCCAGATCCATCTTCCAGCTGTGATGAACTCCACAAGTGGACCTGTTTGCAACAAAGGCCAACAGAAAATGCCTTCAGTTTTGCTCCCAAGAGGGTCACAGCACTGGCTTTTTGGATGCTTTTCTGTTATCATGGATGAACTCCCAGTTGTATGCCTTTACTCCGATACGATTACTATCCAGAGTCCTATTTGAGGCCAAGCAGGAACATGGTTGCCTCATATTAATAGAACCAGCATGGCTTCAACAACGCTGCTTCTCAACCATGTTAGTAGGACCTCCTCTTGCCAATCCCATTAGATTCAGACATGATCTTTCAGGAACATAGCTGTCTGTTCCATCCCAACCTACAGGCCCTCCACTTGACAGAGTGGATGCTTCCTGGCCAACACCACTAGAAATTACTTTCTTGAAAAACATTGAGGAGGTGCTTCTGAACAACAGAGAGCCTTCAACTAGGCGTACTTACCTGGCCAAATAGAAATATTTTTCTATCCGGTCTGAACAGAGAAGTGTCTCTCCAGTGTTTTGAATTATCTGTTGCATGCAAAACTATGTTTTGAATTATCTGTTGCACCTAAAACAGCAAGGTCTGACAGTTCCATTAAAGTACATTTAGCAGTGATTTCAGTGTTCCACCCTCCAGTGAGCAGTAGATTGCTTTCCACCTCTTTGTGAAAGTGGCATTTCTGGTTGTGATAACCTCAGCAAGGAGAGTGGGTCAATTGAGAGCCCTGATTCCAGAATCTCCTTATATTTTTCCGTAAGGATAAAGTTTACCTCTGCCCTTAGCCAAAATTATTAACATAGGTCATTTCCACATGAATCAGGCAATTTATTTGCCAACATTTTCCCAAAGCCTCACACGCATAAGATGAGCGAGCAGAAGCTTCATTGTTGTATGTGAGGAGAGCACTGGCCTTCTACTTGGACCGCACCAGAACCTTTAAGATCCTCAATGCAGTTATTTGTCACGATTGCAGATGTGATTAAAGGCAAATCGGTTTCCACTCAGAGGACTCTTGCATTGTTTGTACTACCGGTTAGCTGTATCACACCACCCCTTGAATATTGGCTCATTTGACTATAGCAGAAGCAGCTTGAGCCCTTTTCTAGCACAAATACCCATTCAAAATGTTTGCAAAGCAGCAAACTGGTCATCAGTGCACACTTTTTCTGCTTATTATGCCATTTTCCATCAATCCAGTTTCAGACAGGCTGTTCTACAATGCTGATCGGGTAGACTCTGAACCCGCCTCCACATTAATCTCATAGACTCATAGACTTTAAGGTCAGAAGAGACCATTATGATCAT